GCATGTGCTTGATTTAGACATAAATTTGGACACCAAAAGAATAAAGGCTTCTTTTGGGGGTGCAGGCGAAGAGCGAGATAGAAGAGAGAATGGCTTCAGATTTAGATGTATTGAGTCTAAGATGCCGCTGGGACATCCAAGAAAACATCAGCATCACGCAGTTGTCAACCTGAGATTTCATCTCAAGACGAGCTGAATATAAACATTTTTAAGTTCTCTAACGTTTAAGTTAGTAGTTAAAATTAGAGAAGTACAAAAAATCACAGACTATATGAGAAATGGTGTAAACTGGTGGCCAAGAAGAGCACTTTTAAAAGATGTTTACCTCAGAAGATGGTAAAGTAACAACGACCAGGAACTGAAATGGGAAGAAAGGTAAGAAAGAAAAGCAGCAAAGATGGACACAAAGTGTGTCAGAGAAGCCAAAGTTGATCAAGAGTGAGAAATAATCCCCCCAAATGACGTAACAGTAAGCCTGAGAGAGATGATTGCTTTTGGCAAGTAGAAGCTCATAAGAGATCTTTGAGACAGTAGTTTTAATAAAGGGTGGGCAAATGAGTAACATCTCTATAGTCATTTCTATAAATATTTAGGAGCTTAAGCTGACTCTTAAAAATACCATTAACAAGTTATTAGTTCAAAATATTGGCCATTGTCACGGCCATATTTACAATCCTCTCTTCCTAGATTAATGGCACCTCCTTCTCTACCCACAAATTTATAAAATGTTACAAATGTCAGGAACCTTAGAAATCATTAAAAGATTGCAAACTGGCAGCCAACGGGCCAAATTCAGCTCTCATGTTTCTAACTTATTCCCCCCACTTAAAAAAAATCTTAGATTTTCAGCTTCTCTGTAAGATACAAAGGATCTGGTAATAATGGTCCCACACTTCCAATGCACCTTTTGCAAGAAGCATGTCTATTCCACTGCCCTAAGGACACCTCAACGTCCTAATGACACCTCACTTCACTCATTTCTGGTAACTGCCTTCCTGTATCTGTGAGGTATCTAAGATAGAAACTCCTAAACTTGACTTAAATAGGAACAATTAAATTCATCAGCCATTCACTACCTACTCTAGGTTAAGACCCAGAGAGGTTAAGGTCTCAAAGTCAGTTAGAGAGCCAGAAGTAGAACTCTGTTCCCTGACTCCCAGCTACTAAGTGAACCGTGGCTTCTGCTGACACTAAAGATACCTCTGGGTTTCCCCAAACACATGCTGATTAATTATCTTTAAAGGAAAGGGAAATCATCTATATCTAAATATAATTTTATTAAGAAGACAATTCTCAGACATTCACAGAAATATCCAAATTGATCCCTCACAAAAAAAATCTTTACCATATCATCAAAATTGAAGGAAATGCGTTAAGGAAATCATCTTTAATTTATTCTTTATGTGCACTTTACTTGTTTGACACGTCCTTTGTTGACAAGAGAGCTGCTTTCTTGGATTCGGTCTTTCTGCCTTCAGTCTTTTCTTATTCAAACCCAAAGTTATCTTTAAAAATAATCTGCCAGCTGAGTAATAAGTTGTAAGAGAGGATGTCTCTGTTTTGGAAGTTCTTCATTTCCCCAGGGCTTATGGAATAGCCTACAAGACCCTGGAGCCCTCTCGGTCGGCTTGTGTGCCTTCACGGCCTCATCTTCCCTTACCTCCTACACTCTTCTTCACACACATCAGGACGCTAAGGACACAAATATTATTCCCCCTTATCTAGAGGTCTGTCCTAACCAACTGCTGTAGTTTTTGTAACTGATGAGTTGGCATTAATCACAGGAGCAAACTAACAGCCAAAGATGTTTATATGTCCGCCACAGTCCAGCTTTCAACAAGCACACTGAAACCGTATTACGAACCTTCCGACCACAAACCACAAATTGTGATCAGTGGTTCACTTCCTGCCCAACAGGAGACACCCTGTGTAACAACTTCCCATCACTGCAGAAACAAAGCATTTGCCCATGCTTTTCCCTCCCTCCTTCACCTCCTGACCAAGCTGGGTGCTTCTCCATGAGACCCAGGGGGGCATGTCCCCATCTCTTGGGGACTGTAAGTAATAAACTCTTCTTTCAAAGGCAGTTATCTCTATGTCTATCTTCTTGGCATACTTAACTAAAATAAATCCCGCAGATGTTTTAATATAAGCCCATCCTCCTTTTTTTTTTTTTTCTTAGAAAATACCGATAAATCCTTCACAGTGAAAATTAAATGTCACCTCCTTGGTGAAACCCAAGGCAATTTTTGTTGCTCAGCCGCATGATCTGCTCCTAACACAGGTAGGGCAGCCTCCGCTCAGTTTTGCAATTTTTCCGTTTTTGTGTTCTTTTGTACCCATTGGGCTTGGAGAACCTAAATGAAGAGAAACACTCAAGTCTTACCCAGTTCCCTCCTTTATATATATTAAGGACTCAATGAATAAATTTGCAATGGGAGAAAGGGAGCAAGGCTCACCCGGTCCCTTGAAGAACACAGACCAGCTCTGATCCGCCTTGGAGGATAAACAACAGCAGAACCACACTTAACAGAATCCAGAGGTTTATTTTCATTCCTGTCAGGCTTTTCAGGGCTTACCTCTCCCTTGGGTTTTAATTGTGTTACTATGTGGTTGTTTGTTCATTTCATGGGTTTTATGGGCTTGTTTTGCTATTTCCACTGGATTTTACTTAGACTAAGTCTGATGTCTACCTGGGAACCTGGCATCCACAAAGGCTTAGGTTTGGCTACCAAATATAATTCGTATGGCCTCAAGGCACATGGTGAAATCTGATGTTAAAAACAACTTAACCTAATTCATCAAGGCTGAAGTCACTATGAATTACAACATTTTAGGGTTGTAATGAATTAAAATCAATAGAAATATGGGGGGAAAATGACCTTTCCTTTTCCAATTAATCCTTTTGGTTCAAGCGCTAAATCTTTAGGCCTACCTATTTGAAGAGTTCTCCTGAATGAAGGTTTACCTTTAGAATACCTAAGATTCTGCAAGTATTTCTGAACAACAATGTGTGAACTGGGGAAGAAGATAAAAGCCTTTGATAACATTTTACTAATTACATTTATAACTCTCCATTTCTACTAACAAGATGATGATTAACAGGTAAGTATTTAGGCCACTAATTGATTGCCTTTTTTAGTGATTAAAAATATGCATGTCAATTATACCTAAAAATGTAGGTAATTTAAGAACTGAAAAGAATGATACTACTTTTAACATTTTAGTAGATAAATGTTGTGGGAAATAATATCATGATTAAAAGTAAATCCCATAGCTTTCTACTTGCTTGTTATTTGTAGCTTTAAATAAATAATAAATCTAACTTAGTATAAGTTTTTTGGTTTTTTAAACAAAAGGGCCTGGCTTTTCTTGAACCATTCTCTTTCTGATAATGAACACTGATTGTGAATGCAAAACCTTGCATATCATTATGTGAAACATTTATGCATTCAGAGTGTCTACTTGGTGGCTTTCTTCTTAAGAAGCTAAACAATTCATTAAACAAGCTGCTCCTGAATGGTAGATCAGAACAAGCATAAGCTGCCTTCTGTAGAATTCTATTGTGGAGCTGTACCCATTTGTGTTTTCTTTGAAGCCACAAAAATGAAACCCTTATGCTCATATTAAAAGCATAAGAAAGGCATCTATTGTGTCAATAGATTTAAAACACGGCCTTAGACACAGTGAGAACCACTCCAAAATGGCACTCCTATAATAGCAAAGGTTAAGAAGTGCATTCCCAGGGAAAACCTTCAAAGGCCTACATATCATTATATCCCAAAACAGATGGCATCGCAGTGTTTGGAACTATAGTTTATGGACACCTACAATCTCAAATAAATCCTTTCTAATCCCACTCTTTTGTCTAGATTTTGTACTTTGATGATAACTGCAGGTGCTTTTCTCCATTCTTCATAGGGTGACAGAGTGACAAAATGATACAGTGAAGATTCATGTACATATATGGACACAACTCTTAATACAACTTCTATGCAATGTACAAGTATTCTACTAGCAACAGACTTACACTTTATAGAAACTGGCAATTCCTAGATTCTGATCTATGATAAATCATTAGTCTGAATTTTACAGGAAATAATGAAAAAAAACACCTCTCTCATATATTGCTGAAAATATAAACTGATAAAAACCACTTTGCAAAACAATGTGGAATTCTCTAGTATCTATGTGTATACTTTGGAAAAACTCAAACACAGGAGATGAGGACAAAAAATTTCACAGCAGCATTGTTTATAATAGCAAAAAACTGCAAATAACCCAAAAGCTCATCAACAGGAAAATGGATATGTGAACTGTGATATACTCAGCAATGAAAATGAACAGCTGCTACATGTACCCATGTGGATGAACCTCAGAAACAATGCTAAGCAAAAAAGTCCCAGAAAATGATCTGCAATGCTTCCTTCATGCAAATTTAAAAGCATGCAAAATTGAGCAACATGTTATTGTTACTTAGGTTCAGGTTTTTTTAATCATGTAAAATTCTGCTGAGAAAAATCATACTACTGTGACCAACAGATTGAAATAAAAGTTTTCTGATTTTTTGCTACAAATCTCGGATACAGTGGACCCTTGAACAACACGGGTTAGAATTGCACAGGTCCACTTATGTGAGTTTTTTTCACTAAATTTGTACTACAGTACTACATGATCATGGTTGTTTGAATCCATGGATGGAGAACTGAATATAAGGAGGGCTGACTATAAAGTTATACATGTATTTTCAACTGTGAGGGCGTCAGTGCCCCTATCCAACATGCTGTTCAAGGGTCAACTCTACTGAACACATTTTTGGATTCAAACTGAGTCTACAACAAAATTGCCTACAGATAATTTCTAATGGATCCTTACAGGTCAAGAAAATTTATTTAAAATATCATATATATCAATATTTAAGGAAAATATGTAAATTCTAACCTGAAAAAGATTTAAATAGTATCATATTTTACTGTAAAGAGTTTTACTTCGTAGTTTACCTGAAACTTCACAAGGCTTGTGAGACTGCAGGAAATAGCTCCTCTTTAATTCCTGTCTGTATATAAGATGGGGCTTGTTATGATCATCTTCATGTTCACTCCCATCTGCCTTCATTATAGGTTCTAAGAAATATTCACCATCATGTGCTTTAAATGTTCCCATCTGGAAATAAAGAAAATAAAAATTAATTTTCTTCTGTCACTAATCAGAGAAAGCACGCTGTGCCACAGGTTAAAGTGAGAGCACAGAAACAAGACAGCCAGGAGTTCATTCACTAAATGCCATCAACTAAACATAATGTTTCTTTCCTGGCTCACTTCTCCCTCTTATGTATAAAGTCACGGAGACTGGATAATATTCCAGTAAACCAAGGTGAAATGACAGGTATTCCAGGTATAAAGAATAGCATAGGCAAAGGCATTAAAATGGCCAAAGGCTTAGCACATTCTAGAAGTAAGAAAGCCTCTTTGGCTTGGTCTATGTAAGGTAATAGAGTGAGACAAGACTTAAAAGGAAGGCTGGGGTCAGATAAAAGATCTTGAATGTGACGCTAGCAATTTAGAATTTGTAAGCAATGGGGAGCCATTGAAGAGTTTTCTCAAAGACCTGTCTCCTGAATTCCAGAATCCAACATCCAACTTGCTTTTTTGACACTTCCTAGTAGCATTCTCAACCTCAACATGTCCAAAGACAAACTCTTTCTTTTCAGTCCAAACCTGCTATTTCTTCAATGCTCCCTCCTCAGTAAATGGCAACAGTATTATTCAGATAGCTTAGGACAAAAATCCTTAGAGAGAAACCAAGGATGGGTCTCTCTCAAATCCCACATTCAATTCATCTGCAAATGTAAATGGCTCAACCTTCAAGGTATAACTGAAATCCAACCACTTCTCCCAAATTTTATCACTACACCCATGATCTAACCTAACTTTCTCTTCTTTCTGAACTAAATCAATAGCCCTCTATTGTCTCTACAGAGGAGTCACAGTAATTTTTAAGTCTAGATCACGTTGCTCTCAAATCAAAAAAACAAATACAAAAAAGTAACATGACTTTTCACATCATTCAGTAAGATTCAAATTCCTTACCATGGTCCACAATGTCCTCCGTGATCTGCCCACCCCTTTGCACCACCCGGCCCCTCCAAGCACACAGATGACCAACAGTTCTGACTTCACCTTCTCCCATTCTACCTTGGCTCATTCTACAGCTCCATTCCTGATGTCTTTGCTATTCCTCAAACATGACAAATATTCTCTCACCTCAGGACCTTTGCACTTTCTAAACCTGCCTCAAGCACTTTTTTCCCTGATCACTCCCACTATCACTTGTTTCAGGTCCCTACTCAACATTCATGACCCTATTTAAAAATGTTACCGAGCCTCCTACGTCTATCCCCACTATCCAGTTTCATTTTTCTCCATAATGCTTATCACTACCTGAGAGATTATTATTTATATTTGTTTCTTGTCTGATACCATCCACTAAAGTATAAGTCCATGAGAGTAGAGCTTTGACTGTATTCTTCTCTGCATGCCTGTCATGCCTACCACATAGTGGATATTGGATAACATATATTAAAGGAATGAATAAGACTATAAGACATGGAATTTAATCTAGTGACACTGTATGGTAGAATACTAGCAGTTATAAGATAGAGGCTATAGCCCAGAAGAGAGGTAACAAAACCTGAATTATGGTGACAGTGATGGTATAGCAGTTGGAAGAGAAAGATTACCAGATGCGAATGCCTGAGGAAAGCAGAAAAACAGACAGTGAGAGGGAGAACTTATGATACAGATAATTTTCTGGGAAAATAATATTTACCAAAATGACTCCAGAAATGTTAAAAATCCAAACAGACCCCTTTTCTACCAAACAACAGAAAAAGATGTCAGAGTTATATCACAAAAACTCCTGGCCTTGATGATTTCATAGAGGAATTCCACCAAACCTTGAAAGAGCAGATAATTCCATTGTTATTTGAACTGTTCCCCAAAATGAAAAAAAATCCAAGTTATTTTTATGAAGCTAGTGCAAACATATAGCAAAGCCTGGTAAAGACAGCACAAAACAAAACCACCCAGAAAAACAAAACAAATACAGGACAAGCTCACATATGAATATCAAGCTAAAAGTCCGAAACTGTATTAACAAACAAGAGTCAGTAATGTGTGAAAAATACATGACGAGGTGAAGTTTATCATAAGAATGTAACTATGGCTCAATATTGGAAATCTTAATTCATCATCACCACTTACACAAATGGAAAAAAAATCACATGTCTTTTGAAAAAAATCACCAAACATTCTTGATCTTAAAAATATCAATAAAACATAAATAGGTAGATGCTCCCTTAACAAGATAAACTCTATCACAGCCTAAAGACAGTATCGTGCATAACAAAGATACATGCAAGGCATTCCCACTTAGATCAGGAATATAAGGATGCCCAGTATCACCTGTCCTAGACAACAGAATTAGATAAAAGATTAGAAACATAAAATTGGAAAGGAAGAGTTAAAACTTTCATCTTCATAGGTAACATCAGTGTATACCTTAACAAATAAGAACTAACTGAAAAACTACTATAAGAACTAAGTGAATTCAGTGAGAAAATACACAGGCTTCAATAATATTCATGTGTATAAAAAACAGTGAGAAGATACTATGGAAGAAGCAATCCAATTTACAAAAAAATGGTTAAATGCCCAGGAATAAAACAAATTTGTCAGATTCCTGTAAAATGTCAAAGGTCTACTGGAGAACAAAGGAAGAGAACTTAGAAACCACTTGCCATGTTCCTCAATATAACAAGATCTCAAAAAAATACCAACAGATTTTTTAACATGTAAACTGCTTCCAAAGTACATACAGAAAAAAGAAATAACCAAGATAATTATAAGAAAACAGTGAGGTGGGACTAGCACTATAAGATGTTAAAATATTATAAAGCCACATTAGTTAAATACTCCAATGCTGGCATGTGAGGAGACCAACGGACCAATGAACTGAAAAGAAAGGCAAGCAATAAATCCTAAACCACAGGACTTAGTATATTATTAGTGTATAGACTGCATCTCAAATCAATGAGGAAAGAGTATATTTAATAAATAGATTGCGACATGTGGACATCTGGACAAAATAATTTGGATACATCCCACACAGAATAAATTCCAAAGGGTCAGTGATGTAAACTTTTGAAATAAAACTGTAAAAGCATTAGAAGGTAACATGAGAGAATGCCCCTTTCACTTTGGAATAGGGAAGGTCATTCTAACCATGACTCAAAACCCATTAAAAAAATGTTAAACTTCACTCAGGAAGAACAGAAATTACTACTAAACTGAGAAACCATTTTCACCTATGAGGCTGGCAAAATTCTAAATGTTTTATAACATACTTCAAATGTGTCTGGAAAAACAGGCACTCTGATACACAGCCGTTGAAAATGTAAATTAGTGCAATCACAATGCAAAGCATTTAGCAATATCTATGGCAACTACAAATGTGTTTGTTCTTTAACACAGCAATTCCCCTTTTGAAAATTTATCCTACAGATACTGTACATTTCCACACATGTTGAGCTAACATAATTAAGGTTACTAACTACAGCACTGTTTTTAACAGCAAAATACTGGAACCAATTCAATAGTCCACTGTTAAAAAGTATATTTACATAAACTATGGTATAACCATATAATGGAATATCTTGTTGTTATAGACAAAAAAGAATAAACATTTTATGTAGTGATATGGAAAGACCTCCAATACAATTATTATACCAAAATATAAAACTGTAAAACAGGATGTATAGTATACTACCATTTGTGTAATAAAGGAAGGAAAAAACACTAAATATTTCTATTTGCCTGGAAGAAATGCTAGAAGGATTCATTAGAAACAGTACAGGTAGAGGTGGGAGAAAGCAGATGGATTCAGGATGGACTAGGTATAGCATCCTTTTCACTTCAGGTACTTCATATACACTGTTCCCAATTCCCACCCTTCACCTCATATTCCTGCCACCGCCACCTGCCTGGTGGACTCCATCTCATCGTTCAAGTCTCAGCTTCAAATAGCAGCTACCCAGAAAGTTTTTCCTTTACCAGCTAACTAGGTAACCACATCCCTACCCCTAATCCTGACAATGTATTACTTTTTTAGAGTTTACTACTGTTTGACTTCTTCAGAGCACTTACAATGCTGTATTTATATATTCGTTTGCTATTTATAACTGTTCTCCCTCATTAGACAGGCTTCATACAGGAAGAGACCTAGCCCTGAATTTACACTGCCTTATACAGTACCTGACACACAGCCAGCGTGGTATACAATAAATATCTGTTAAACCAAGAAAGAGATTGTTTCCTACTTTTTGTAAACTCAGCTTATGTTGAGCAGAGAAGTAGGACAAATCTGGACACGCAAGCTGGAGCTAGAATATGAACTCTTGAATGTAGGGATGTTATAATAAAAAGAGTCCATAAGCAGGTGAGAAAAAAAATTGCATTTTTATTACCATGAACCTATAACTGAAAGTTAGAATTTTCTTCAACTGTGAATGTAGGCAACAAATCCCAGTGATGTTGCCAGTGGAGAGCAGATATTTTCATCACATGAAGATGTTTGAGATCTCAAAATATTGTTTATGCTCAACAACTCTGTTATTAGATCTTATTTAATGTGATAATAGGTAAAATTTTACATAACTACTTTTAATATCCTGATAACTGTATTTCAATAAAATTGGTTTATTTTGTCATTTATCTTAGGCACTTGAAAACATTCTGAGAAGGGCTCCATTGGTGAATTATCAACAGGGGAGGAGGAAGGAGAGTCAAAGCGATAACTTCAGAAGATTAAATAATATCTTTGTGCAGCTGCTAAGACAGCAAGGGATGAAACAGAAAGAACTTGCACCCACTGGTAGTCAAGAGAGTGGAAAGAATCCCTCAAATGGTCAGCTCTGATCAATAAATCTCTTTCTCTAGTTTGGTGAGGCTAAATCATCGAGGGTAGGCATTTATCATAATTTCAATAACTAACTTGGATCTATACAGCAGACATCATTCATATACACTTATAATTTATTTCCACCTAATAACTGAGGTAAGTTATTATTATCCCCATGTTCCTGAGATGAATGAGGAACAGTGAGG